GGCGGCGCGGCGGCCGGCGGCGCGAAGAGGGGCGCGCAGCTGCATCAGTGTCGGCGTGGCGAGAGCGGCGATGTAGGGCGGGTGGCTGCGAGGGGGCTGGACGGCTCCGATCACTGGAAGCAGCAGCCCAGGTGCCCGCGGTGAACCGCGTGCGTCGTCGTCAACGCCAGCAGGCGGGCGTGCGCCGTGTTTGTGTCGCAGGTGCTTTTTTTTGGTTATCCGTAGCAGTTTTAGCGCCCTGATTTAATACAGGCGTTGAAAGGAGAGCGCAGCCGTCACGCACGGCAAGTGGCAGCAACTCACGATCTACCGTAGAGCTGTACACAATATCACCACAAGAGGACGTATCCAAACTCAAGGCAACAGCGACATCATTGACAAGGGCACGTGCACTTGCCGGGTTGTCGGGCCGCCGAAACCTGGCCGAAACGCCAGGCTGGACTGCCCCCGCCTCTGCCATCGCTGGCTATGAGATGGCCTGTGCAAAGTGAACGCTGGGCTGTGACCCCCCTGACTGAGGCCATTTGTAGCCTGAACTCCTGCCTACAGGGCAACTTGAAATATCCCTTGGCACCTGTTTCGAGGGTGGGGGCACTTGCAGCCTGCTGCGAGGATCGTCAACCTATTTTGTACGCGAGGGATCTGGAGCTCGTCAGTATCTGAATGTGGTGTGAGACGCACATGGCTTGATGATATCTTACCACTCTCCAGGCCGCCTGTGTTGAGCAGCGCTTGCCTCCTAGCAAGAAAACCATGAAGTGGGCAATGCCGGCAGCCGAAGTGCGGGTTTCGACCTCGCCCTTATCACCATCACCTCCCCACGTATTTTTCTTTGTTCGTTTGCATCGATTGCCCTTGAGTCGACTCATCCACACATGAGTTTGTCCACTCTGCAGCCAGCAGAGCTTGCCAAGTCCCCATCTGACGACATACCAACAGGATTACCAAGCACACCGCTCTTCAGGCTATTTGGTGTGGCTGTGGTGCTAATACGTGATTGCGCTGCTGTTCTGTCGGTGGGATGAACTGCATCGCCATCGGGTGGCGTTGCGGCACTTGCAGGGTGAGTCAGATGGGCACCTGTGCAAACGTTTTGATTGAGGTGGATTTACCACTCGCGCAGATGCTACATGTCACGCATTAGAACACTCCGTTAGTGACGTCAAGGCAACCGCGTCGCTTACACTCGGCTCAGATCGCTCTCTTGCAATTGTGTCGCAGCCGGGACGCCACATAGCTAAATCAGGCGCTCAGGAACTATCAAAGCTGTCTTAATTCCTCATAAAATTCCGGAGGGCCTCCCTCAGCCGCAGCAAAGCGTAGCGGGTGCAGCGTCGAGACACTCTGCGCCGCTGCTGCTGCGATGGGCAAGAAGCGCTCGCAGAAGGATCGAGGATACATCACAGCAAAGGAGCATGCAGAGGAATGGGGCGGCTTCAAGGACCGCTCGGTGAGCCACGGGCTGCTGTGGCCTGCGCTGGTTGTGACAAGGGCAGCATGGCTGCGGGAGGGGCGCGAGGGCGAGGGCGGCGGGCAGTAAGCCCCTCGGGTTGTGGCTCCCCGTGCTGCTGCTTGCGTGCAGCAATGGATCGCATGCTCGACCATCCACCGAGGCAAGGCTCAACTTCTATTGAGCAGCGCCGCCAGAGGCCGCGGGACGCGTCCAGGGCCCCCTGCCCCTGCCCTCACCCACGTGCTACCCTGCCCCGCCTCGCACCCACCCCCGCCCGCGCCCCCAGCGCGGCGCCCCCTTCGCCCGCCTGCCCTTCAACTGCTGCGCCATCACGTTCACGCCGTTTGAGGACCCGGTGTGCACCGACGACGGCATCATATACGACATTGTGGCGGTGGTGCCGTACGTGCGGAAGTTTGGGAGGCACCCTGTCAAGGGGACGCCGCTGGCGCTGGGGGACCTGATACACCTCAACTTCCACAAGAATGCGGGTGAGCCTCATGGGCTGCTGGGTTTGGGGCGTCTGCTTCGATTGGTCATATGCACAGTCGGGCAAGCAGGGGGGCGTGGCCCGTTGCTTGTGAGAACGAAGCCTGCTTGCTGCGCCGTCCCTGGCCAGCGCAACCGGTTGTTAGTGGATGGGGTTTGTGCATGCAGAGTGTTAGCATGTGAAAGGCTTCTGGGTGGGGGGTTTGCTGTTTGAATTCTACCGGACCCGCCCACCAGGGCCGATTGCAGCAGGTCGCACATCAACAAGCGGCGCCGAGTCTCATGGACATGCGTTCCTGCACCACTCCCCCTCCCGACGCCTCGCGGAACCCCCCTCCCCAACGGCTCCCAGCCCCAACCCACTTCGACCCCACAACGCAAACCGCACGCATACACACACCCAAGCCCAACCCCACCTCGCGTCCCCACACCCACCGTCACGCCCACCGTCGCCCCCACCGTCGCCCTGCGGCCACCTCACCCCCCGACCGCCAGACGGCGAGTACGCGTGCCCCGTCACCGGCAAGGTCTTCACCGACCACACCCACATCGTGGCCGTCAAGCCCACCGGCAATGTGTACGCGTGGGAGGCGGTGGAGGAGCTGAACATAAAGGCCAAGAACTGGCGCGACCTGGTTACGGAGGAGCCTTTCACCCGCAAGGACATCATGCACCTGCAGGACCCGTTGAACCTGTCGGGGCGGCTGATCCAGGAGTTTGACCACGTCAGGAAGGTGGGGCACGGGTGCGTGGGCACGGTGTGTGTGTGTGTACACGTGTGTGTGTGTGTGTGTGCGTGTGTGCATGTGTGTGTGTGCGTGTGTGTGTGTGTGTGTGTGCGTGCCTGCGTGCACACGCACGCGCGTGCGTGCGTGCGTGGGTGCGTGCGCATGTGTGCGTGCGTGCCTTTGAGTAGGGACAGGTGGGTGGCTAGATGTGGCTGGGTGCGAGGCACATGTGTATGGGGGGCCGGGGCTGTGCTTGCCTTGCAAGGGCTTTATTTCGACCCCGGTGTGACTGGCCGCTTG